CAGGACACCAAAAGTTAAATGGAAAATCATTGATAAGGCTAGAACATGTAAAGCTTGGGATGACCCATGCCATTTGTGCCTCCATGAAAAATTACACATTATTAAACTTCTAAATAATAATAATCTATTAAATAATAGACACGAGTTAACGGTTTTTTGTAGGCATCATCAGATTTTTGGTTTGAATTATTAGATAAAAAAAAAAAAAATTTTTTTAAATTTATAATAACTTGTTTAACAAATAGCCCAATCATCAGATTCATAGTAGGAATAATTAACTACAAACATGCATACAACATAACACCCTTCATAATCCATAGCACAAATAAGTAGTTTAAATACCTTACATAATAGATAACCCTTTATGAAGTCGTCAAAAAACAAACGTTACGAAAGTTTTTCTTTTTTTTTATATGCACAATTCCCTTTCATAATAAAATAAAATAAAATAAATAAATAAATCTCCATAGACAAGCAAACTAGACGAAGGTTAATACATCTTCCGTTTCATTTTAGACACCCCCACCTTTCCCCGACTTGACATCTTGAAAGTATCTCTATACCGCTACTTATTATTAACACCCTACACTCGCCTACCCAATTTAAACAATTCGCCCTAGCTGTTACCATGGGGATTTTGATTTCAATTTTTAAAACAAGTAAATTTCAGATATACGTTATTCCAACAAAAATTTCGCTTGAAGATGGAATGTAGCCCATTTTAATTTAAACTCAATTTAATTTAAAGGCTTATATTGAAATAATTATATATATATATATATATATATATATATATATATATATATATATATATATATATATATATATACGGTAACTTGTCTCCGAGTACATTCAAACCCTCAGTCATTTTCATGTTAATACAACAATCGATTGTCAAATATTAACAATAAAGAAGCAACATTTTTAACGGGTTTCGTGTACTTTATAAAGGTACCGCCGCACACCTCTGCAGGCCAGAAAGAGTCGAAAATTCTTAAATTCGAACCCGGATCCCATGGTGGAAATGTATATATATATATATATATATATATATGTGTGTGTGTGTGTGTGTGTGTGTGTGTGTGTGTGTGTGTGTGTGTGTGTGTGTGTGTGTGTGTGATAAAATATAGATTTCATATTTATATGCTAATAGTGCTCAATATCTGGAATAGATCGTATGTAAATTATAAGCAGTGTGGATACAGATTTCTAAACCGAATGTCGACAGTCAGTTTCATGCTGTAATTAAATCTTCAGGGCCTGACGATTGGGTTCAAGCATGAATGGGGAAAGATAAGTAAATTCCGGCATTTTATATTCCCCTCTCTCCCCCACCACTCTGTCTGTCTGTCTGTCTGTCTGTCTCTCTCTCTCTCTCTCTCTCTCTCTATATATATATATATATATATATATATATATATATATATATATATATATATATATATCACATATTCATGAAGTAATATTGGAAATTTCTTGACCAAAATCTGGCGAAGTAATACTGAGAAATTTTCGGACACCTCATCCACTTCCTCAAAATATTAACAAATAAAGTAATATATTTTTAATATCATCTTAGTCGAACTGATTGCTTTTCAGCACCCCCAATATATAATTTTCTACTTCCAATATCGATATATTACTAAAGTATAAGTCCTTTCATATTTACTATTATTTCCTATTTAAACAAATATATTGGCAATCATTGTATTTTAATTGGACAATTTTGTCTGAATTTTCTTTTACCCTATGCTTTACTCAGCTTTTAAAAATAGCATATCGACTGCCGAAAAATAAATAAATCCACGTTCGAAATTGAAGCTGGTTCGTTATATTGATAAAGGAATTTAATAACATCACTAAGAAATATGCAGGAAAATGGGAAATGTGTTTAATGAAAAATGATAAAAGAGACTACAACCAATCTATTTGTATCAAAATTGAATTACCATTTTCCATTGAGAAATGAAACATGCTTTTAAAGGCTTAAACATTTAAAAAGGAAAGGTCCAGTCGATCGAAATAAAACATTACTATTAGAATCAAACATGATTGTCAACCTTTAAAATAGAAAAAGAAAATATCTTTCGAAAATTCACAGATTTTGAGTTCTTTACGACATTCAACACCTGCAATGCGCATGCTCAAATTAGAATGTCAATGAAGGTTCGTTATGATGGATGCCTTTATTATCTCGGCATTTATTTTCGTGTTTGGCAATGGAAAACTATACCCTAACGATAAGAATAACTGCAAAAACAAGTGAAAATCAAGACAGCCTCGATATATAATTATATTTCCACGTGAAATAAACTGAGAGGCAGGCTTGATTTTTTCCCCATTTTTTATATAATGAAAAAGAAAAAACACATTTCATATTAAAGACTGTTTTTCTTTATATAAAATTCATGTAGAGGTACTCTCTGTAAAATGAATCCCCAGTGCCCAAACATGTACTAGAGTTGATCAAAAAGTTATGCCTCTTCTTTAATGGCACATAAGTCTCTTCTTCTTCTTCTTCTTCTTCTTCTTTAGTCCATGTTCCTATGTTCATGGCTCTCCACAATTTCCAGACCTTTGTAGCTCTTAATAATTTTTGTTTTTTTGTTATATCTCCTAAACCTTGTTCCGTCATCCCTTTACTCAACCTCACTAAGTACCTCATGCATTCCTTTCTTTCCTCTGTCCCTTTTACCTTCATTCTTCCCCGTGAGTATCAAATTTTCCAAGCCCTCCTACCTCATTATGTGACCTAGACATTTCAACTACCTATTGTTGATGTTAAATATAACTTACCATATTTTATAAAACGTCTTCATTGCTCACCTTCGGTCTAGGGTATCCTCATTATCCGTCTGTAGAACAACATCTCTGTTGCTACAAGTCTCTTTTTCATATTTGTGGATATTGCCCAGCATTCAGTGTCATATATGACTGATATCATGTAGTGGTTCAGTTCTATTTTGATTTTTATTATTGTAACGATTTTTTCCTGTCTCTTAATACTCCGCTAAACTTTTGGAATACATTTTTGTTTTTCCTAATGCGCCTTCGGATTTCATTTTTACACTTTTCGTCCTCTGTTAGAACAGATCTTTAAATTGTTGTACTTGTTTTGATTTTGGTATCTCCATGCCATGTACACTAGCACGGATCCTCTTCATTCGCTTCCTTCGTAAAGACGAAGCTTTCCAAGAACCACTATTTGTGAAACAAAAGCCCAAGATGTTTTTCCCGATCTCTACAACTAAACCTTGTTATATTTGTCCGAGCATTTATATAAGTCAAGGGACAGTAACGATACATACAATTGACTTTACAAAAAAGAAAAAACTAAGATCTGGAAATGGAATGAAAGCAGTGATGGCACGCGCCCTGAATTCATCATAAAAATTCATTAGAAATACTATAAGTACTCTGTTGTATGGATAAGTTACAACAAATTTAGTACATGTGATAAGTGCGAGTAGTTTCGCTCATGAAAGCAAGTTACTAAAAACCAAAACTTTAACCTAAACAATCGTCATGTTCTTAAATGAGGTTATTTAAGAACATGACGATTGTTTAGGTTAAAGTTTGTTTCAAACTCATTCAGAATTATCTAAACTGTATACAGCAGCTTTCAAAGATCAATTATTATAAATGGCTCCAAGCAAATGTATTGTGTAACTCTTAGTGAGGACCATCTTCTTTGAACTTCTTAGACTGGCACTACAGTATCACATGGAACTCTACCAAATAACAGGAACCACATCATACCATATCAGGTTTTACTTTGGTATATAAATCAGTTATAACAAATTTAGTATAGGGTAGAATGTAACTTCATTGCGCCTGGGGTACTTTCGCCTAACAGCAACTTGCTAAAAGCCCAAGCTGTTCATGTTCTTAACTAGGTGAACATTATTAAAAAATATGTTCATGGTTACACCTACCCTTTGTTCTGGGTACACTGAAAAACTCCTAAGCACGGAGCTTTTAGTAGACATGGCTCACCAATGCTCACCTGAATTATTTAAAGAAAATGTTGCAATTGTAATGATGGCATCATTCTAACTAGCGTTATCCTCATTTTAAGCAGAACTAAACTGCCACTTTACGGCCTGTCATTAATATTTGTTTATCCTTTCCCTCTAGAATTTACATTGGCTTTTCCATAACTTCATTGGAAGATCCATAACATTCCATAACTTCCAGTAACTTCCTATGAAAGTCTACAGAACTTTCAGCATTCAAAAACCGATTCGATGACAGGGGTAACAATTTTGAAAGGGGAGTATGGCTAGAAAAAAACGAAGGTAATTTAAAACACTTTACGGTTTAGAGCCAAAGAAAATCCTTAAGAATTCTAGTTGCCTTAAAATTAAATTAGAACAGACATTATTTTTTAACTGCTTCTCATAATTTATTTTGCTGGCAACAGGAATTTGATGTCCATGAAGATGCATGTCGACATAACAAATGCAAGGCGTTTTTTTATATGAAACAAAAAATAAAAATTACTATCATAAAAGAAAAGAAATAAATATACTTTAAATTTTAGCAAAACCTTATATACCGCATCAGTGCTTCTGTAAAAAGTATAAAGCTATTTTATAAGTATGAAACAATTATGAAATTATGGTTATGTAAAACATTACCATAACTATGATTTCGATCTACAGATTATATATATATATATATATATATATATATAGGATTGGTGTGGACGGAATAAAAATCCAATAGTCAAAACTACTATTCTTAAAAGAGGGTTCAATACAGAGTAGAGCAAATATTATTTATTCAAAAATTATCACATAAACAGGTTATAACATCAATACAAAAATAGAAATTTTCTTTCAACACTTCTAGTGTCCTATCAAGTGATGGGGTTGATTGCAAAATTGTTTGATTTTTTTTTGTTTTTTTTGTTTTTTTCGCAATCAACACCATCACTTGATAAGAGACCAGAAATGGTGAAAGAAAATTGCTATTTTTGTAGAAATGTCATAACATGTTTATGTGATAATTTTTGAATGAATAATAGATAGATAGATAGATAGATAGATAGATAGACAGATAGACAGAAAATAAGGGTCAAATAGAAAAACGCTCATAAATGTTAATATGTTTCGCTTATATTTTATCCTCATCAAATACATATTTTTGGTTTATGGAAGATTTTCCGGTCTTTTGAATTCTGTGTTGTGGTTCAGATAGATCTCATGTATTTAGTCCTTGAGGTCTTAGTGTATGTATGCGCGCATGCGCGCACGCGCACTCGTATCTAATATGAATAAATGGGAAACACACGGAATATATATATATATATATATATATATATATATATATATATATATATATATATATATACGCACATCTTCCTACTTCTTTCCAGGAATTAGACACACAGAGACACTGCCAGTCAGACACAAAAATACCCACTAATATTCAGACGCACATACACACACACACGCACGCACACAAACACATATACGTAAATACACATACATAAACAAACTAACTACAACAGACATAGACACATGAGATCTACAATGAAATTAAACCAATGAAAAGAAACAACACTAAATTTAAATCACTCCAAAATTCTCTTCCATAATTCATTTCAAATAAGAAAAGTCTGATGACTTTAAAATAAAAGCGAATCATGTTAAATTTATAAACATTTACCTTGGGTTATAGCCAAATTTGGGAGCTTACGGCCACATCGCGTTGAAACACTGGTTTCACTTACGATCGCGAAGTTAAGCAACGTCGAACCTGGTGAGTACCTACATGGGGTGACTGCTTGCAATTACCAGGCGATGCAAGCTTGGACGTGCAATAAGTCACTCTCCTGTTGGTTAATATCAATCAAGCTGATTGATTAGAAAATGGATTTTCTTAGACGATTAAAAGAGAATAGTTTCAATTTGGAGGCATTAAGCCGTTTCTTGCTTCAGTGAACAACAGATTGTAGGTCATTGATGAGATCACCTTCCAATTTGACCTTATCGAACCAATAAGGCTTACCATGAAGGCGTTTTTGCTAGGCTTATCGGAATCGTTTCCAGAACCGCCATCATTATGGTCATTAATTTCTACAAAGATCTGATTAAGATTTTGATATTTATACAGATTTCTTTTTCTCTTTTAATTCACAAAAAATGAACATAAATAAATAGGGTACATTGATAAATAATAGTACAAATACTTAATATAAAAGCAATAATAACATGATAGGGTGGAAATAACGAATAGTTCATATGGTTTATCTGTAAAGCAACTTTAATAAGATGACGTATTTCTCGAATAATGATGCTATAAATGTTCCAGTTAAAAAACAACAATAATCTGATGGATTAAAACTAGCAATAAAATAATAATATTTATAACTAAAAAAAAGTATTTGCAGTTTTTTTACGTCGTGTGGGAAGAAGTAATCACTGATACGTAAATGGGAGAGTAAGCCTGCTGGAAAAGCCGTGGGGTCTGCCTGGTGTCATTGTTCTATTACCAATACAGATGAGTTTTACACACACATCAGTCATAGCTCAAGCAGCAGAAAGGAAACATGACGGTGTCGAAGCAGTTCGTTATGGGTTGTTTGCTTCAGGACATTAAGGTTGGCTTGTCGGAAGTCGAATCCATTGCATTCACTTACGTCCTAATACACCTGGGAAAAGTATAAATCCTCATCTTCTCTCCCCAACTATGGATAAATAGCAGGAGAGACCGGGTTCTATAGCCTTAGATGGCAACTGGTCTACTGCAGAAAGAAATGGTAACTTACTGCGGGACAAAAAAGATCTGCCTCGTCAGTCATGTATCGAAAGTTACATGATCGCCTAAGCGTGTATCACGCATGGTACATAACTGATTGTCAGCAGTCACATGAAGTCGACGAATGCGTCAAGCCCTTGGCAATAATGATGTGAGTGAACGTGCCGCCGGGCATTGTTTCCAGAAGTTCAGGTCTTTGCGATGGAACTCGGTGTTGCCCACTACAGGTCGTGGATGATGAGGTCCTGAAGTCACTCTCCTGGTGGCTAACATCGGTAAAGCTGATTAAACAGAAAATAGGTCTTCTTAGACGATTAAAAGAGAATAGTTTCATTTTGGAGGCATTGAAATTATCAAGCCATTTCTTGTACCAGTTAACGACAGATTGTAGGTCCTTTATCAGATCATTGTCTAATGTGACCTTATTCAACCAATAAGACTTACTATTAAGAAGAAAATACATAATACTGTCATCAATATACAATTATTGTAAAAGATGTTTATGCTGATGTAATAACTAATCTTATTAAGATTAAAAGATCATACAGTTTTAATTCTGATTTTCGAAATATGAGTTTGTTTTAAATTTACTTTTTTTCGTATTGTCGTATTTGTTGAGTTCATCAAATCATTTTAATCAACATATTCTTGACCATTTTCCAACACGCTTAAAGTCTTTTGGATATGAGATAAAGTTGAATTCACGCGTCTATATTCGTAGAAAGATTATGTTAAAAATAGATGACTAACCCAGTAGAGAGCATTGCACTGTTAGCGAAGCCGGGAGTATGGGGACTGTGGTATCTGAAGAGGAGTAAGACTTCCTCCAAAATGGGCCGCCGTCTGAGTGGATGCTTTCAGTGTCAGCTACAAACTTGACCCATGCTGGACTCAGACATCGAGCATAAATACGGCCAATATTTGCTTACAGCCTCAATCCGACTAATTAATATGTGCGTATAGATTCAAAAGAGCTCTTAACTCTTAAGTAATATCAGTCTTCCGATATTGCAGTGAATGATCGACAATCTTCTCACAGATAAAGAAGAGACTTCAAGCAACAGAAATTAGTTTCTACAGAAGGATGCTGAAAACGCCATGAATCAAACATTTGAACAACGACGAAGTTTTATAGAAAAGGGCAACAAAAATTGCTTATAATTAAAATCAGGAAGAGATAATTGAAATTTATGAAGCGCATAAAGAGGAAAAAGGTCTTGGAAAATTTGATACTCAAAGAACAGATTGAAAGCAAGAGAGACAGAATAAAACAATGCATAACCTACCTAGCAAACATTAGAAAATGAATGGCGGAACCAAATTTTGGAGAGATAACAAAAAGAAAACATATATAAAGAGCTACAAAATCAGGAAATTGTAGACAGACATGATTGCCAACGTCCTGAAGGGGTACATTACATAGAAGAGAATATGAATTGAATAGGGAGCAGACGATACTTAGAAAAAAAGGTAATCTATTTAATCAATTTGTGTATGAGTTTTTTTCGCCAACTATTCAAGATGGCTGGTGACAGGTAAGGCAAGCTAGCAAATTGAAGCTATATATCAAGGAACTAAGGAAATGTTGGTTTAATTTAATTAAATTATCAAAAATCGCATTAGAAATGGATTATTGTTTGCTAATTAAAACTGAGGAATTCAATTAATTTTAACTAATTGTGACAGCAGAACGGTTTTTTATCCCCTGGTGAGCACAGCTGAAAATATTTGTCCGCGTTTACTAATTGCCTGTAGAATGAGTAGCCATGGTCAAATGCAAAATAAATAACAGAACTGTCCAACCAACAGAAGTGGCACATTTTGGAATAAACAAAATGAAGAAAAGGAAAAGAAAAATACAAGGCAAAAAGAAAGAAAAGAAAGGTAGAGGGCAAGAAGAAAGAAAAAAGGTACGAGGCAAAAAAGAAAGAAAAAAGATACAAGGCAAAAAGAAAGAAAAAAGGTACAAGGCAAAACGAAAGAAAAAAGGTAAAAGTCAAACAGAAAGAAAAGAAAGATACAAGGCAAAAAGAAAGAAAAGAATGATACAAGGCAAAAAGAAAGATACAAGACAAAAAGAAAGAAAAAATTACTAGGCAAAAAGAAAGAAAAGAAAGATACAAGGCAAAAAGAAAGAAAAGAAAGATATAAGGCAAAAAGAAAGAAAAAAGGTACAAGGCAAAAAGTAAGAAAAGAAAGATACAAGGCAAAAAGAAAGAAAAAGCTACAAGGCAAAAAGAAAGAAATGAAAGATATAAGGCAAAACGAAAGAAAAAAGGTAAAAGTCAAAAAGAAAGAAAAGAAAGATACAAGGCAAAAAGAAAGAAAAGAAAGATACAAGGCAAAAAGAAAGAAAAAAGCTACAAGGCAAAAAGAAAGAAAAGAAAGATACAAGGCAAAAAGAAAGAAAAGAATGATACAAGGCAAAAAGAAAGAAAAAAGGTACAAGGCAAAAAGAAAAAAAAGAAAGATATAAGGCAAAACGAAAGAAAAAAGGTAAAAGTCAAACAGAAAGAAAAGAAAGATACAAGACAAAAAGAAAGAAAAGAAAGATATAAGGCAAAAAGAAAGAAAAAAGGTACAAGGCAAAAAGTAAGAAAAGAAAGATACAAGGCAAAAAGAAAGATACAAGGCAAAAAGAAAGAAAAAAGCTACAAGGCAAAAAGAAAGAAAAGAAAGATATAAGGCAAAAAGAAAGAAAAAGGTAAAAAGAAAGAAAAAAGCTACAAGGCAAAAAGAAAAAAAAGAAAGATATAAGGCAAAAAGAAAGAAAAAGGTAAAAGTCAAAGAGAAAGAAAAGAAAGGTACAAGTCAAAAAGAAAAAAAAATGTACAAGGCAAAAAGAATATCAAGCAAGCAAACAATATATCCAAGGCAAACTAAGAATTGATGTTGACACACAAAAGCAAGTTCGCACAAACGAGTATAACGTCCTGACATCAAGACAAGACAGATCGGGACTGAGAACTGCAAACCGGCCTATTTTATTGGTTAGGAAAAATTCCAGCATTATATTTGTTTGCTTACCTAGTCACAATTACTGAGCGAAACATATCACTCTATTGCTTACAACGAAACAACACATTCTTAATTAACATTTTTATCACAGGAACCATAATACCGCCAATCTCTATACAGTTCTAACTATTTCCCATATATACACATCGTCTGGGGTGGGGGATAAATATAACAAGTTTTAAAAAGGAAACCCTATTGAATCTATATAATGAGTACCATAGTGTAAAGCTGATCAGAACAATTACCATGAAATTATTTATAGAAAGTCAAAGGCTAGCTATGTTACGGCGGTGGGAAAATAACTGAAGAAGATATGGCGGATCAAGTCGCTGAATACGTCAAGCCCTTGGCGATAATGGTGTGAGTGAACGCATCGTCAAGCATTGTCTCCAGAAGACTTCACCTGCACCACATAGGGAAGTTGTACAATTTGCGAAAATTCCTACACCAAACACTGTCGGAAGCCAGCAAGCAACAACGTGTGACTCTTTCTCATTGCTTACTCGGTACATTGACCTACCCATATTTGATCGAGTGCTCACCAGTGACGAAAAGTGGACCCTGTATGACACTCCCAAGCGCGCGAGACATTGGATGTCACAACGGGACTTCGTGCCCCACAACCACAAGACCACCCATACAAGATCATGTTGTGCATCTAGTTGACAAGTCGATTAGTAGTGCACTATGAGCTGCTGCAACCGGGCCAAACCATCATTGCGAACCTGTTGGAAGAATTGCAACAGGAACTGAAGAAGGTGGAGCCAGGATTGGATAAATACAATGGTATACTGTCTCACGAGTACAATGCCGGGCCTCATGTGGCGTAGGTGGCCAGGGATACGGCGAATTGGTTGGAAGACTGTTGTGGTACGATCCACCTAATTTGCATGGTGGAGTACCGTCCATATATATATGGTTGGTACCGGGAAGAGAGGGAGGAATCAAGAGATTCAACCAGAGACTCTGCCCGACTGCGACTCAGTCAACACATTCTCCAGGAACGGTCTTACCAGGAATATGCAAAAGACTATATGTAAATATTGTGTACACTTTTCTTGTTTCAATACATTTTGTTCTAAGTACATTTTGTGTTGCATTATTATTCCATGCATTAGTCAAGTTTCAACAGAGACATTGTGACATTTAACTAAGTCCCCGGATATTGCACGTACAGATTACCACCTCTTTAGTTTACCGTTCAAACACCTTCGTGGGAAACCTTTCACAAATGAAGGTGGGTGTCCAGGGAATGAAAGAGAATCAGGCTACCTTTTACCGCTAGAGTACTGTGCAACTGGATCACATTGGTAAAAAGTTCTTGTAGCCATTAGGGATTACTTTGAGGGATAACGGTTTGTCAAATTTGCTGCATACCTTTTTTTTCTAATAAATAAATCAAGCCAAGGACTTTTCTGGTTATCTTGTAGTTAAAATAATTCAGTCAAAAAGCAACAATAGTAAAATCAATGAAAACTAATAATAAAAATAATAGTTAAAATGTATCAGCAAAAAAAGCAACAATAATTAGTTTTTTTAATACTAATGTTCACCCAATAGAAGCCTGTGTACTGCTGTATGAAACTAACAAACAGCACAAGTTCATGAAATTATTGAAATTCCAAAAGTAATAAAACTCGTTGTCATAAAAGGTTTTACCTCTCGTCCGTTCTGTGTTTAATATTCAGTTTGCAGATAGATTTATTCATGTCTGAATTTAACACACACACGTATGTACGTGTACAAAATGTTTCGCCTGATCTTCATATTGAAAACGATTGTAGGTTTTTCTAATGATTTTATTGTGTAGAACAATGAAGAAGAATAACTACGAATGAAACAACAGCGTAACAATGATAACTGCGGACGAAATGGTTCAAATTGTTCTCCATTGTGTTCGATACAAGAAAGCAATAGTACAATAAAATAAAAACAATCATGCGAAACATTTTGGCTATCCTGTACGTCTGACATAAAGCTAGACATTCGTTACACTGTTGTCATTGTCATGACAAACGTTCAAACGATCTCTATTACGTTCGTTAAACAAGGAACGATGACAAAAATAAAAAACACAAAGATACATTACTACATTGGTCAAACATACATCACACTCACTCGTAGGTTACCTTGTCATTCATCAGTTGTGAGTCTATCAATCATCATATCGAAATCTACCACAACATATTTACAATAAATGAAATATCAGTGGATAATACTAAAATGCAGCACAAACCTGTAAAGAAAGATTAAAAAAACTCGATTCTTATATTGTTATAGAAATGAAATCTGTTGTATTAAAACTGTTAGGTGGGTGCATAATTATCAGGCGTTTTTCTAGGCTAATTATTTGTTAATAAAAGTTGCTGTTTTGTTTACGTTTTTTAATAAAAAAATATTTTAGCTTCAGATTATAAAAAAGCGTGTCGATAATCATTCGCTTCAGAATAATCATTTAAAATGTTTTTTGTTGAGTTGTTATGTTTCTTTTTTCATAATGAATATTGTTTAAATAACGCCTGATAATTATGCACCAACCCAATATTTTGCCACGGAGGAAAGATAATAGTTAGCCCTACACTTGAAGCGGTCAAGATTGTAAATACTGGGGAAACACCGAGCTGGCAGTCTGTTCCCCGAAGCAGACGGTCTTAGAAAGAAGCTGTCCGAGTGGAATTCACTTCTTACTAATGGAATGCGAAGAGAATGAGTTCGATTCCTCCTTGCGTACTTGATATAGACATAACTAGCGATAAATTAATCAAAGTTAAAATGCTCCGCTGAAAGGCAACACTAAGCAAATGGAATACAAGTAGCAATAACACAACTAGTTTTAACCCGTGAACATTTACAATTTCTAATGAATCTTAATTCTTCAGTTAATGATTGAAGAGGCTGATGACGAGTTCTATGACAATACAATATCCGTATAAATTCCCCCTAACGCATCGTCAAATGTTTGAGTTTAACAACTTTAACAAAATATTGCAATAACAATTTGGATAAATTTAATTAAATATGAACTATCAGGTCATCCCATAAGATCTGTCCGAATTTTGAATAAAGAAAACAAGTGACTAAATGTTACATTTAATTACAGCTTCAATTAACAATGTATTTTCCCTGATTATCTATGACTTCCTTCTATCTATTAACAAGCTTACTAATTCCATTACTGTAAAATTCTTTTGACTTTGATTCGAAGAACTCACAAATGTCAGTTTTAATCTCTTCCTGTGTTATAAAAGCTGTTTCTTCCAAATTATTCTGTAAGCTACGAAACAAATGGTAGTCTGAAGGAGCAAGATCGGAAGAATTTTCTTGCAACCAAGTTCTTCGATCTTTTGTGACGTGATTCTTGCTGTGTGGGGTCGCGCATTGTCCTGCTGAAACATCACCTCTTTTCGATTCCCTAGAGTAGGTCTTTTTTCCTCAAAGCTTGGTTCAAACGCTCTAATTGCTGACAGTATATTTTAGCATTAATTGTTGCATTAGGTGGTAAGAATTCAAAGTGGATTATTCCTTGGCAATCCCACCAGACTGAAAGAAGAACCTTTTGCCCATGAAGTTCCCTTCTCGGCTTCTGGGATCCTTACCCTTTACCAAGCCACTGTCTACGACGCTTAACATTTCGATAAAAGATCGATTTTTCGTCGCCAGTCACAAGTCTATCCAAAAAAGGTGAAACAAGTTGGCGAGAATGGAGAGAAAAGCAGATGTCAACTCGGGATTTGAGGTTGTTTTCAGACAATTCATGAGGCACCCATTTTCCAAGTTTAGGAACTTTTCCAAGTTGCTGAAGATGACGATGAACAGTTGTATGGTTTGAACTGAGAACCACTGCCAATTCCTCAACTGATAAAGCAGGATTTTCTTCAAGGGCTGCTTCAAGAAGCTTTTCATCAAACTCAACTGGACGTCCGGTTCGATCTTCATCTTCAAGGGTGAAATCTCCACCTTTGAATTTTGCAAACCATCTTCTGCAAGTTCTTTCATCCACACATTCCTCTCCATAAATTGAGTGAATGTTTCTAGCCGCTTCGGCTGCTGTGTTTCCTTTCTTGAACTCATAAAACATTATGTGCCACAAATGATTCTTGGGTACTTCCATGTTAGCAGGGTTTTAATCAAACAAAATTTAATTTTATTGTTCTCTGAAATAAAATTTGATCATTTTAAATGCATTTAAACATAAAAATAATGTTCAGCTCCATTAGACATTATAAAATACTCTTTAAATTTTGATTATTTTAACAAAAAGTTAAAATTCGGACAGAGCTTATGGGATGACCTGATATTTTAAGAAGCCGGTACAACTGAAAAGATTTTTAAATGGACAACATTTCACTGAAACTTCTGCGTTCCCGTCTTTCTTTCTTTCTTCATCTTGCTGAAATCAAGTATTGTATTTTCTCCTCTTTCTACTCGATCAAAAGGAAATAGTCCATTGTTCATGAGGTATTGGCAGGAGACGTTAAACAACTATTTCTCCACTTATTTCTTTCTTTCTTTCTAACCAAATCCTCGTTTCCATTATTGTTTCATTGTGTCAGTGAAACCAAGTAGCGTCTTCGATATGTCTTTGTCTTTTGTTTTGTCTTCTCCCGCGAACAAAATTATTTAGGAGATATTATCTGGAAACGTTAAACCTTTTTTTTCTTTCTTTCTTTTTCACTGAAACTAGGTGGCGTCTCAATTATGTCTTTTAGTCTTTCCAAACAATCAAATCGGAATAGTCGATTATTTATGAGGCATTGGCAGGACGTAATGGTCATGCGAACTAAGGAACTAACAAGGGGGGTGGGACAAACACAATTATCATATGATAATAATTAAAAAGTTTCAAACAAATCCTTTTTATGTCGGGTAAAAACTTGGACCAGCAAAATTGTAAACTTGTTAGATTAAGCTATGAACCGTTATATCATAGATATGATTAAAGATATCTTACTGGAATTCTCCGAGGATTTTATAACACTACTGGGCTCTACTTTGAATAATAAGAATGTATAATTACTCTCGAAGTTTAACAAAAGAATCTTGATGAATTCGATCATAAACGAAAATGACATATTCACACACACACACACACACACACATATATATATATATATATATATATATATATATATATATATATATATATATATATTATTCCAGGATCATTTACAAAATTATTCAAGATGATGTTCGCCCTCTCTAACCGTCTAAAATAGCCCTGAAATAATAAGTTGCCTGACCGGTTTCAAGTACGACTTCATTTTCAAGTATTTTTTTTTCATTGCTCTTCGGAATGTGATAGGTGAAACTCTGATCTCATGTGCCCAAAGACTTATGGATTGAGTTGGATCTTTTCTAATTGATCTCTTCAGCTCTAAGTTAAAATGATTATCCCTCTTCCAGTTGTGATCTTCTCATCCAGTGTTCCTCTCTACTGTAACCTCTTTTGTAAACTTATTCATTGATAGTTCGTGAATGGAATTTGAAAATCGAAGTCAGAGTATAAATGTTGGTAACATTAGTGAAGGCCTGAATGATTTTTTCCTCTCAACATTGCTCATTTGGGAAGAGAGTGGGTCTGACACAAAACGATTTTAAACTGTTCCCTTTCTAGCTGAATAACTCAAAGAGTTTTTCAGTGATTCTTACGACAAATGGTATCAAGGTAGCTAAACGTATTACCTGAAAACCTGTAAAATAGAAACTCAATTAGTTTACCATTTTCTTAAGATATTAAACATTCTGCTGTAACATGATTTGGAAAATTTGGCTGTTATACTCAGTACATATATATATATATATATATATATATATATATATATTAAAGACATTTTTATGTTTAACATTCTTTTTATAGATACAAGTATTTAAGTAAATGCTTTATAATAAACAGTATTAAATAACATTTACCGGCCTATTAATATTATTTACTTAAATACTTGTATCTATAAAAAGAATGTTAGACATAAAAAATGTCTTTAATAAATTGTCAGACTTTGTCCAATTCTTAATGTATATACATACATATATATATATATATATATATATATATATATATATATATATATATAAGTATAGGATTAGTGTATACGGAATAATGTTGAAACAAAATGGCTATTTTTGTAATGATTTTATAACATGTTTATGTTATAATTTTCGAATAATTATATATATATATATATATATATATATATATATATATATATATATATACATACACTACTTTCAGCCATGTTTGATCGTTTTTCAATGCTTGTTAAAGACCCGGTGTTTGATGCCAATGTGTGTTCAATTGCTGTGTGCATAGAATGCATTTTAGCATTAAAATGTA